CCCTAGTCCTTCTTTTCATTAAACTAGACATACCCAATTCCAGCAACCATTCTTTATATATTTTAGCCTCCAGTCCCCTAATCTGCATATTGCTCCAAACCATCTTGGTTTTTATTTTTCGACCTAGAAAAGATCAAAGACTGAGTCAACTTTGAGCCCTATCAGGATCGAACTCCAAGCTGTGGGCAGAGTTTGCCTGCAATTAACCAGAGTACGACTAGGGCTCCTATGGTTAGGAGTTAAATAAGTGGTTAAATACTGGCTAGATAGTATCTTCTAGTGCTATGAACATGAATTTAGGAAAACTCTGGGAGACAGGGGAGGACAAAGGAGCAGGACATGCTGTGTTCCACGGTGTTGCGAGGAGTCGGGCATGACTTAGTGACTAAACAACAGTGATGCCATCATAGTGTTCTTATATCCCTGTTGTAAGTACAGATGCAATGTAATTGGGGGCCAGAATCAAGAGTAACCTAAAGTCATTGCTTCTACTGGACCTGCTCTAATATGAATGAAATCATAGTTTGAAGAATATTTTTACTTAGTGAGAGAATTCATTCTGGTGGTGATTAAAAGTGGTAGGGAAAAAAAAAGAAAGGAATTTGCTATAGGAAGAGAAAAAAGGAAAACGTAGCTGACTCCAAATGTGGGTGAATCAACAGAGAGGTGGATTTGTTCTGAAACTGAATTCAAGAAATGCAGCTTTCTTGCATAGGCTACATGCAGATTTGCAGGACAGCATTTTTCAGCCTTGCCAAAATCTCATTTGCTTGTAATCCGTGATTGCAAAGGACTGAATTGCTTTGCTAGGCTCAAATGTCAAACTAATACGGGAATCTTCTATTCTCCTGTCTTTACACCAGGACTTAGAGAAGGCTGTGCTTATGTATGCAAGGCTGAACCACGGTTAAGCATTACCACGAAAAAACAGAGGGGAAAAAAAAGAGAGTGGAGATCAGGATCTGCAAAATCGAGCTAAGGCTCCACAAAAAAGGCACTTAAAAACGTGGCTAACTCATTTTAATTCTCAGTCAAGTTTCTGACATTTGCCTCCTTAATCTGAAATAGCTACTGCCTTAAGCCCAAACTCCCCCCCCCCCACCTTCCTCCAGACATCCATCAAAGACTCTGAAAACATCTTGGAGCAGAAAGGCTGCCTGAACAGAGGAAAAAGTTTTATAGTATCACTTTTTCAAAACATGATATTTTTTTTCCAGGAAAGGGTCTTAAGGAACCCATTTACCATCAGTGACAAGCCAGTTGATTTATCTCAGCTATCAAAAAATGCCGAGAAGCCTCCAGTCTACCTGAGACCACATTTCCTAGCAAGTTAAGATGGCTGCAAATTTGTCAGCCTGTCATTTCTTCCTACACCAATCCCAGAGACAAAGACCCTGGTTCCTCAGGGAGGTAAAGTTATAAAGAAGTTGAAAGTCTCTCCTTCATCCGATCTCTCTTTGCAGAGGCGCTTGCTTTGCTAAGTACCTGCAAAAATCAAGACCAGACACAATCCAAATACGCAGAAAAGCCGGGCTTCAGCTCCAGCTATTATCTGAAAAATTGTTACTCACCTCTAGTGTGGTCAATACAATCTTCTCAACTGAAGAAAAATAAGCCTCCCACAAGAACTGTGTCTGCTGTCTAAGTGCTAGGATTTTATCCTGATGGATAGACCTGATTGTAGAAGGGATCTGTAACACAACACAGAAAAAAATAAGGCACTCGAAAACTCAACAACCTGGGAACATAAAGACACGACGAGGGTCATTTTCGGACAATCTGTTTATAGCCCAATAGGTTTAGATTTTATACATTGAGTCTGCAATGCATTTGGCTCTCATCTATGGCATGCAAATTCACATTGTCAGGCCATACCAGCCGGGATAGCAATAATTGGAAATAGAGTTATATGGATGTTAACACTGTGTCTCTTTCTCACTTCTGACCAGAGAAGCCCAAACTTCTTACATTTACGGTAATTCTTGACTCACAACCATTCGTTTAGTGACAGTTGGACATTACAGCTGCACCAAAAAAGTGACATAAATTATGAGAATAGAATAGAATTCTTTATTGACCATGTGTGATTGGACAGATAAGAAATTTGTCTTTGGTGCATATGCTCTCACTGTACATAAAAAGACAAGATGCATTCGTCAAGAATCATAAGGTACAACACTTCATTAGCAGATTTTTTTATTATTTTTTCCCTTCTACAACACCTTACAGTCATTATATCAACATTGTTATGCCATCATACCTGTACATGT